TATTAATAATAAAGGTACAGGATAACAGCCCCCTTTTCCCTGTTCTCCGCGTTATTCTTTCCAGGACCACAAAATGGCGCTGTTTCCTGTTTCCCTTAAAAAGGCGGCCGAGAAAAAAGCCCGCTTCAAAAATGCCCTCCAAAAAGTTTTAAAAATGTGACTACGGTACCTGCTTTTCTGTCCCCTAACGAGAGCGTTTGAGCTTTCGTAATACCGTATTAATGTTAATGAGGCGTTTCAATTAATAATTATTCGGAATAATAAACTTTAAAACGAGAGTGACGAAAAAGTCGCTGCGCGAGGAAGTTGGAGGGGAAGACCCAAAAGAATGGGGGGGAAGTCGCCCGTCACAGAAAGGTCGTTCTTCTCTGGCATCGTGGGGTGGGGTGGGGGGTTAGTCGCGGTGAACGGACAACCTTAACCCCAACCCCCACCGCCTAAACCCTAACCCCCACTCCCTTACCCTAACCTCCAACCTCAAAACCCAACCCTCTAAGCCAACAAGCCCATCTTTTTCTGGGACATCTTTTTCTGTTCATCTATTGCGGCCTTCGGTCTCGTGTTGTCCTATTAATATTAACATACTGATAATAAAGATACGGGATAATAGCCTAAAAAAAACTATTAAAAGGCTTCCCCCCACCTTCTCCCTTTTATTCCTTCCTGCACCAGAGGACGGCACTGTTTCCTGTTTCCCTCAGAAAGGCGGCCGTGAAAAAACCGTTTCAAAAAAGCCCCCCCCCCAAGTTTTTTTTTTTTTAAATGAGACTGCGGTGCCTTCACGAGAGGGTTCGAGCTTTCGTAATACCGTATTAATCTTCATTATGAGGCGTTTCAATTACTAATGATTCGGAATAATAAACTTCAAATCCCCGAGTGACGAAAAATTCGCCGCGCGAGGAACTGGGCGGGAAGACTAAAAAGAATGGGCGGGAAGTCGCCCGCCACAGAAAGGTCGTTCTCCTCAAGCGTCGGGGGGACAGCCACGGTGAACGGACACGAAGTTCACCGCGCCGAAAATGTCCGCGCGAAAGGAAGTTGGGGGACGACTTAGAAGAGGGGACGGGAAGTCGGCCGTGATGGGAAGGTCATTTTTCAAAGGAACTTGATCATCTCGAGAGCGGCATTGAGTGGCGGGACTTTTTTCCTGGCGCTCTGCGGGCCGCGCGTTTCTCGGTCTCCTTGGTTCTGGGGAAAGCGGGGAAAAAGAGGACGTGTGAGCAGGTTGCCCTCCCTCTTTTGGTTTTTCCTAAACAATAAAACGTCCTTGTGCGCCAAAAGCATGGTTCCCTTTTTTCCCTAATCAGAATGATTACATTTATAGCAACGGAAGTGCCATTAAAATTCTTAAAATGAAATAATCGGTCAACTTAAAGCTCAGCAAAAGAGGAATTCGTACCTTGAGAGAAGAGAATGGGAGACCGAGGGCTGCCCTTCTTTTTGGCTCCCAACCTTCCCAGTCTTTCTAAAATAAAAAGGCCCGACCTCAGTGAAACTGCCCCCCAACGCCAAAAAGGCCAAAGAAATAACTGAAAACAAAAGTTACTCTCACCCTTTCTAATAGCTTGGGGAACAGCAATGGATTGTCGGTTCTGCCTCTCCCAGGGGGAACCAACTGATGCGGGGTCCAACTGGGAAAAGTCTAGTTTGCTATGGCTTGAGAGACAGTTACCTACACCCACTGGCGCCCATTAAGAAACATAATACAAAGCACCAGCTCTTTACCTCTAAACTCCAAGCTCTTGTTCTCCGCCAGGCACAAAGGATAGGATGGTCATCTTGGCAGCCACACGCTCGACTGTTTCTCTTTCCCAAAAGGCAGCCTGATGAACAATTTTGCAGCAGGATTCTCACCTGCATCCATCACACAGGCTATACTTCTAGAAAGCAGGAAAAACAGGTATTACCCAGACTGCTGCTTGCCCCCAAAGGGGGCTAGAGAAAAGACAAACAAAAAACAGCTACTGAAGTTGCTCCTAATGCTGAGAAAAATACTGCCAAACTCAATAGGAGGCAAAATATCGGAACCACCCTGTGCTTCCTTTACCTGTCCCATCTCCTCCCTTCCGTTTTGGCGGCGGCAGCTGCTGCAGCTGCTATTGCGGCTGCTGCTGCTCCCATAGCCCCTGCAGGTCCTTTCTGAATCTCCCCCTCTGGCCAGAAATGAAGGGACATGCCCGTAGCAGAGGTCCTTCCTTCTCTGCACAGTTACCAGACTGCGCAGCAGGACCCTGGAGAGCGGCTCTTTGCTGGCTTCTCGGAGGATTTAAGGATAGGGCGATTGTACGTCTCTTTGACGGAGCTTCAACCAGAAATTTATCCCAATGGTTAATTGGAACTAGTTTCCACGGCACAGAATTGCTCCGATTTTTACTCGCTATTGTATCAAAGCGGTTTAAGAAACAAAAGTACCGGCGTTGCCTGCACTGTTACGGTTACCCGTTTGGGTGGTTGGTGGTATAATAGTGGCCAGCAATTAACCTTACGGGTGAGTTTCAAAGTTTAGGCTACCGCTGTGTTTATTTCTAGTGTTTAATTTAGCACACTAAATTTTAAGGTGGAATCTAACCTTTATAGTTATTTCTCATTTTGCATTTTACATTACGTGACGCTAATTTTACGTCACACTCCTCCGAGGCAGAAGCCGAGCCTGCCCATGCGCAGGCCCTCCTCGTCCGGCGGCTCCATGGCGGGCGCGGCTGGGAACTTTTCGCGGGCGGCCAAGAGGCTTTCGGTGGAGGGAAACATCGGTAGGCAGGGAGGGGAGGCGGGGGGGGGGGCAAGGGTGGGGGGCAGACCGCGGCTGGGCGGCCTTTGATGTTTCTCTTCCTCCTCCTCTCCGCAGCGGCGGGCAAGTCGACCTTCGTGGGGCTGCTGCGCAAAGCCTTCCCCGCATGGCGCCTGACGCCCGAGCCGGTGGCCAAGTGGCAGGAGGTCCGAGCCGCCGCCGCCCGCCAGGTAGGTAGGCTGGACGCGGCCGCAGGAGAAGCCGCCCGCGGCTGCCACCCGCCTTTGCCTCCGGCGCCCCTGCCGCGAGTCTCCCGGCCAGCATCTGCCCGAGCCGTCGTCGGGGAGGCGCCGGTTTGGGCCCCGCTTGGCCCGCGGGTAGCTGTGCAAAACCCGCCCGGGCGGGGGAAGGCCGGAAGGCAAAAGCGGCGACGGGCACGACGGGCTCCTCGGGGGAGGGGAGCTTCTCCTTGGCCTTCGGAAGCCCGTCGTGAGGGGGTGGGGGTGGGCTCCCCGGCTCCCCCGGCAGACCAGGAGCTCTTCCTCCTCAGGCCTGCCCTTCCCCAGTCTTCGGGAACCTGCTTGAGATGGTCTACCGAAAGCCAGCCCGCTGGTCCTACACCTTCCAGACCTACTCGTGCCTGAGCCGGCTCAAGGTGCAGCTGGCCGACCAAAGCCCACGGAGCCCGGAAGCGGTGCTGGTGTTTGAAAGATCCGTCTACAGCGACAGGTATACTGGTTTGCTTTCTTTGCCTTTTGCCTTTCCCTGCAGGTAGAAGGGAAGGGAAGGAAGAGGCCTGTGCTTAAAAAGGGAATTGGCCTCCAACCTCCCTGTCTATTGCTACAATCTGATAAACAAAATGGTTTCCTTAAAAACAGGGAAGGATTTGCTGTGTTTTTTAGTAAAGGCTTAACCAACCTCCAGAATTCATTAAAAGACAGGAGTGAGGATTTAAAGAAACAAATGTAAAAGGAGTACTGACAGATTAATCTATCCATCCATCTCTATAAATCACAATCCACTAAATTTTATGAATTGTTTAAGAGATACACAATTAGGCAAGTTGTATTTTGGAGGATTAACTTTATTATTGAACAACTATGATGCTCTCTGTCAATCTAAATGTTAAACCTCAAACCTGAACTTTTAAAAAAGTAAGGTGTTTTTTTTACAAATACTGTAAGCGGTGTAAGGCGGGGGGGTCCCAAACCTCTGGGCCTCAGCCTGCTCAGGCTGCATAGCTCCATTTCAGCAAGTGGCAGGCATGCACATGCGCGAGTGCCTGCTGCTTGTGTAAATTGAGCTGCGTGCACAAGCATCTGCCCCTCGTGCTGAACCATTTCCTCTTTGCCCCCTCCCACTGGTCCGCAAAGCCAGAAAGGTTGAGGACCCCTGATGTAAGGCGTTTCTGACAGAACAGCAGCTTCAAATTATCAGGAAAAGTATTCTGGAACAGATTCTTGGAATTGCCCAAGAAGGGGCTTGCACATGAACACTGGCATGGTTCTGTAATGGTGGTGGGGAGGAGGAATGCAGAAATGATCTCAGGAGAAAGATAACTCTGACATCAAGAAATTGGCCCCTGGGGTAGAGGTTCCTGTCCTTTCCCCATTTCTCCCCTATGAGCCTGCCAGCCTCTTAAGATATCTGTGGATCCTGCTCCCATTATTCCCAGTTACTGTGGCCCAGAGCATGGGAGTTGCAGTTCAAGGCAACTGAAAAGCACGAGGTTAGGATATTAGATAACTGAGTCCTTGCCTACTTCTGGCCTCAAGGGGGTGTCACTGGCTCATCTCTCCTTCTTCAGGTATATCTTTGCAAAAAATCTCTTTGAGATTGGCCACATGACTGAGATTGAGTGGATCATTTACCAAGATTGGCACACCTTCCTCCTGCAAACCTTTGGAGAACAACTTGCCCTCCATGGCTTCCTTTATCTCCGGGCCCCTCCAGAGGTAACCAAAAATAACTTTTGTGTTCTGTTCCCAGCTTTCTCTCTTCTCGTTACTAGTGTTCTTTCATAATGACGTATTTCCTGTTTGAACTCTTCTTCCTAGCCGACGCCTGTTTTAGCTGCCTTCAACCCATGTTTTGTGCCAGGCATTTCAAAAAAAACCTCAGCTTCAATTCCTGCATTTCTTCTCTAACTCAAAATATGGTAGAATAATTGCTGGACTGCAAAACCAGCAGTGTGTGCCTCCCCCGTCACCGGCACCAGTTACCGGTGTTTAGCAAGTTGGACCTTGGAAGCAACAGCCAGTTTCAGCAATCTCTCCTGTTCCTTTTCTTCGAAGCAGCTGTAGCTTGTCACTCAGTACCCTGGCAGGAAGCCTCCCGTGATTTGTTGGGCAAAAGTCCCCAGAGCTTTTGGGTATCTTGGGCTGGTTAGCAAGGCTGCTTTCTCCTTTCTAGGTCTGCTTTGAGAGGCTGCGCTGCCGATCCAGGCCCGAAGAAAAGGAGGTTCAGCTATCTTACCTGGAGCAGCTTCATGTCCAGCATGAAAACTGGCTTGCGGAAAAGACTACTCTGTGGGTCCCTGCAGGGAGGGGCTTTCTGGGAAGGATGTTCGTGGGGGTGGCAGGGGAAGAGCCGTGGCAAGATAGTGCCATGGTAGAGGACTGCAGATGGGGGAGGGGAGGAAGGTTGGAGGAGCAGGACCACGGCAATGTGAAAAAGAAGGGACTGTGTGAAAAGAGCTTGGAAGCAGGGTCTGGAAGTCCACCAAAGCTCTGCTTATGCCAGCTGCAAAGGGAAGGACTTTTCCACCCCGGCCCCAAGAGACTCCGCAGGGAGCCTTCACGTCCAGCTAAGCCCCACGGTGGGCAAGGTGTTCTTGGCCAAGAGCTGCATTTTACTCCCTGCGGTGTGATTACATCACAAGCAAACAGGACTTGGCTTAGGACATGAACACTCAGCAATCCCCACAGACATAGATTTAATCAAAAGGATTTTCTCTCCCCCCCCCCCCCCCAATAGGATCCATTCTGAAGCTTTAAGAGATGTGCCTGTCTTGATTCTGGATGTCACAAAGGATTTTGAGAATGATCCAAATGAACAAAGGAAGCTTGTAGGCCAGGTAAGACAGGTTGGTTAAAATAAGAAAGGAGTGTCGGAGCATGAAAAGGGGACCAATTCATTGTTTTTATCAATGCACTTTATTCATTAAACCAAACAGCGTAGTGGCCAGCCGAGCACCTTGAACAGAATGAGACGGCCTGCTTAAAAGCTTGTTGTCTCCATGCCAGACATGTGGCAAATCATTTTTTAAAAACGTAAGTTCAGCTTGTCAGGAGTGGCCTTCTTGTACAGGAAACACCAACCTCCTCTCCATTCAGTGATTCAGTGCACTTATTTCATCCCCAACATGGGTGAAGGAAACAGGGAGCAACAGAGATGTTGCATTTGGAAATCCCCCGTTTTGAAAATATTCCTGGTTCCCACCTGGGTGCCCAGAGGCCATTATTGCCCCCGTTCCCTGTTTAATATGAACGGAACTATGGCTAAGAGAAGTAACCCCACTATAAGCCATAATTAAGGCTCTGCCTCATATCCTCACTCTAATAAACAGAGGGGTTTGCAAACCTGCCAATTCTGATTTTTTTTAGCCCTTTTTAAAGGGTCTTTCTCTTTTTCACAGGTGAAAACTTTTATGAAAACTCTTTGTTCTGATTCTTTGCCTTCCATCTCTACAACCGTCTGCAAGTGAAGGGAGTTGGATTCTGCATACTGCAACTAAGAGCTGCTTGCTTAATGCTAAGGAAGCAATGGGAATGGTATGCCTCTTTCCATCCAGGCAGATACAAACTCCAGGCAGGTCAGAGAGCCGAGCAAAGGCCTGGCCCCAGTTGGCTTCCAGCCAGCAATAGCAAGAAGAAGCCTTTTGGAGCCATCCTGCGCCCAAAGGCGGGGGACATGCCTGGCCCCAGCAGAGGGCCACAGATGCATTCCACAGGCTCCCTGGGACACTGCAAGAAAGATGGGCAACGTCTTTGATGGACCTGAACTCGGCACAGCTACCGGTCCTGCTGAGCTCTGCCCACAGGAGTCAAGCTGTAATCATGGACCAGTTTTGCCTGCTCACCTCCCTCCCTCCAGCTGCTGAATTTCTGCAGATTTGGCACCCATCTGACATAGAGTTACATCATGACCATCTTGTGCCCTTTAGCTCACTCCTATCCCATGAGTCTTGCTCCTCTGGATGGTATTAGGAGGTACCCCAAGAGTGGAGGGAAGGCAGGAAGAAGGAAGGAAGGAAGAAAGGAAGGAAGGAAGGAAGGAAGGAAGGAAGGAAGGAAGGAAGGAAGGAAGGAAGGAAGGAAGGAAAGAAAAAAAGAAAGAAAGAAAGATGAAAAGAAGACTCCGTGGTATAAATATTATATTCATCTAATTTGCAGTTGGACCCTAAAATAGCAGAAGACATGTGAAAAGCAAGAATGAAGTTAGTTTTTTCCATAGCTCTATTGAATCTTTTTTATGATTAACTGTATTACTACACTTTGTTTTAAATGGGAAATACTGCTCCTTTGCTATCTTTATAAATGTAATATTAAATCTAACACTACACAGATTTGCTATTAAGAAACAGTCTAGAAAAGCAGTAAATAGAAGCAGAAGCTGTACATTTTCAAGTGGCCCTTCCGTTCTTTGAGGTGTGGTACTAAAACGTGTGTTCCTACCCCTTTTCTTTTTCTATCCATTTTCCACTTCTGCAATCTGTTAGGATTCAATTTGTACGGGTTTTTTTCCCCAAGAACCTAAGCAATTGAGAGAGGGAGGGAGGGAGAAAAAGAAAGAAAGAGGGAGGGAGGAGGTTTCTAGTATAAAACATGTTAAACAAAAACGTTAGTTTAAAAAGGACAAATATTTATACACACTCCAAATGAATGATAGTGGGTATCTGAATGCTAGGAGGTGAGAACATTATAATTGTTAGGCCATACCAGAACCACCTGCCTGAAATGCAGTGGAAAATGGTGATTCTTAAAAACATAATTTATTTTTAAACAAACAACCTCAGCTGAAAAATGGGTTGCTGCCTCTATCTTGAGGCAGGCGGGGAATAGCTGTAGATTGCCCACTCCTGTGAGGCCCAGTTGGCACCTACTTTGATCTCTTTCCACTACAGCAAAAATATTTTTATTTTCCAAGACCTTTTAATGTATAAATATATTAATATTTTAACTTTTCCACTTCAACGGAACTTTTATATTAATGTAATTTTAGCCATTCTGTTTTTAATTTTTATATGTTGCATATTTGTTGCACAAAATATAATCTTTTTAAATAACCTTTTTAAAATGTTAATCCAGTGATATAACCATATTACTGCCTTCAGAGTTATACAGGTAGTCCTCAACTTATGACAGCCCAGAATTTTGGTTGCTAAGCAAGAGCATTGTTAAAGTGAGTTTCTGTCTTTTGACTCACCCAATCACATGACTAGCCATGCCCACCCAGTCGCATGACCACATAGCCATGGCCACCAAGCCATGCCCAGAGAACCGGTAGTAAAAAAATGTGACTCCCACCACTGTATTAGGGAAGCTGCCTTGTCTGAAAAAGTTGTGTCAGCCATACACATTCATGGGGATATCAGTTCTCTAGGGATTGTGCAAACCTGTGTGTTAGTGCTATGCCAATTTGTATTATTTAAACTTTTTCCTTAAGGGAAAGACTGCCTCTGGAGATGCCCTGGAGCATGGAGCTTTTGCAGGCTTTCTTTCTCCAATTTAAATTAATTACATTTGTCGCTCTGGAAGATTATGTCTGTGTTTTATTGGTGAAAAACAAGAAGATTGTGCAGACTTGGAATAATGGAGCTGTTTGGGGGGCTGATTTCCTTTTGGTGGCTGTTGGGCAGGAGGGCTCTGGGGAGAGATCACCAGCTGTGCTGTCTTGGAATCGCCTCTTTCTTCTTTCCTGATCTGATTTTGTAAGCTGCTACAATCTTCAATACAATCTGGCCTATGTCTGTCTCCACTGAATTCACTGCAGCTTATTCCCAGGTCAGTGGGTAGACAGTTGTAGCTCATCAGTTATGCTGAAAACACAACTCCCCTTTCTTTGTTTAAAAACAAAGGCAGTGGCTGTGTAAGAAAGTAGCTACATCAGATGCTCCTGAGGATCAGACCATCCCAGACAGAGCCAGAAATTTCCCTTCCTCCGCCATCTAGAAGAGTCCTTAGGCTGTTCCTCTCATAGTCGCTTAATGTCCCAACGGTCTATTTCCAAGGGCTCAATTCTTTTCTTGTGCCAAAGGCTGCTGTGCTCAGTCTCGTCCTCCTTTCCCCTTCACAAGCATCTCTTCTCCCAAGTCTTGAATACTTGGCTCCTCATTTCCCTCTCCCGTGGCTTCAGCCAAATTGGCATGTCTGTTGCTTGATACCCTAGCATTCTCATAGTGAAGGGATAAAACATTTGCAAACAGGTTTTCTGGGTCAGGGTTTGTAAATTTACATTTGATTGATTGCTTTGTTGGAAGTGATGCTGCTGCATGCTCCAGTAAGACTACCAAGTCACTCCTAGGCTTGCAGGGCAGCGTCTTCCCTCTCCTGCCTCATCACACTGATGACCTGTCCGTTTTCTTTTTGTAGGCCATGCAGACTTCTTGTTTGGTTTTCATCAGAAGTGACAGCTGGGCAATTATTTTCCCTGTGTATCCTGACAAAACACTACACATCTTGAAGTTCCTTTTGACTCAATCTTTGGCTTTTGCTACACCCGGCAGTTGCTTTCTGATCTAAATATTTGCTGATATTTAGTTCCACTATGTGGCTCTCCAGATATGCTGGCGTACATTAGATAGAACCTTTATAGATTCTTCTTCTGTTGCTTGCTGTACTTTTGTAGATACAGTGTAAAATTCCTGTAGTTTTTCAACCACACACCCCATTGGCCTGAGTGCCTACTGCTTGTGCAAATGGGGCTGCCCCTGCTGCTCACACAGGACCATTTCCTCTCCCTCCCCCCGCCACCAGTCCACCAAGCCAGAAAGCTTGGGGCCACTAGTTTAAGGTGCCACCTGACTCCAAATGGCCTTTGGGCATTGCCCTCAACATAGCAAAAAAAAAAAAAAGATAAAAGCACAACACAAAATATGTAAGATGGAATCCAGCCACTCATTACAAAATATATACAAACCCATCTATCATCTAGCACTATACTGTCAATCAATTGTCAGTCCCCATGGTTTTGTTAGTAAAAATACAGGTTTGAAAAGTCATCTAGTGAGTTTATCTTTATTCTTGAATAAAAGAAATATTAAATATAAGAGTTTAAAGAATGGGAAACAATCAGGAAAAAGCTAAATAAGATATTTCTAAGAACGTTTCAAATAAGGAATAAGACAAATTTGAAACATTGAATATAATACAGCTTTTCGTGGGAACTACATTTTTTGGTCTATTCTAAATCAAAACAGGAATTCAAGACTTTTATGATTTCAAACATTGGACACTAGAGGGCACTGAAGAGTCCAAACAATTTTTAAAAAATGAAGGTTTGCCAATTGTTTTTGGTTAGTAGCAAAGTTTACAAAATGACACAAAATTTCAGCACATCTTCAGGAGATATTTGAAGAATGGGATCAGAAATTAGCTATAATGTCAGCAGAGATGTTTGCTTTTATAGTCTATATTCAAAAGATGTTAACAAAGGAATGACAGATATGAAAAAGTAAGAGATTACAGGATAAAGAGAAGGAACAAATTTTGCTCAATTCAAAATTATTAGAACAATAAATATTGGAAAATTGGAAAACCATGGACTATAAGAAAAGACGACTAATGTGAAAACATAAATGACAAGCCAAGAGAATGACTTATTAAGGATTTACTACTGGATATACAAAAGGAGTTGGTTAAAGACTTACTAATAAAAATATAAATGACAAAGCAAGAGAATAACCTGGAGTATGACTTTTTATGAATTTACAAAAGAGGTTTGATCAAGTGAATGAGGAAAAGATCAAGTCTTATGACAATGAATAAATTAAAAATTAAGATTGTTAGAAGTAAAGGGAAGGAATATAAAAGCTCTGATAATCCTTTTAAAAATACTTTTATTAGTTTATAAAAATATAAAATACAAAGAAAGATGAAAATATTGGGAAAGTAAGGAAAAAGAAAAGAGGAAAAAGTGTGGGGTAAAAATGGGAAAAGAAAGAAAAGCATTGACTTTGGTTCTTAGCACAGTAGAATAAGATAACACAGAGCCTTAACTTTTTGCTTTTACTGAGTATATATACTAACCATTTCTATAACAACAAACCTATCTAATTGGTAAAACCCAAAATCAAAATTTCATTTTATTCCTACCTCAAGCATAAAGTTCAGAAGTGGTTTCCAATTCTTTTCTCTAATTAAAGCAATCAGTTTAGTCATCTCTGCTAACTCCATCAGCTTTTGCAGCCGTTTGTCCATTGTAGGAATTAAAGTATTTATTTTTTTCATTTTTGTGCGTAGAGCATTCCTGCTGCTGTCAACATATAAAACATCAAAGTTCCATTTTTTTCAAGTTGTCTATTAAATTCTGGTAACCTTTTACAGACTTTTGCTTAAACCTGGTCTGAAAAGTTGTTGGTTTATGGATATGCATATAGATAAGGAACAGGTAGTAGAAATAAGATATGTTTTTTGTAACATTGTAGGATCGAAGAATTACTAACTTGTTTATACTTGTGATGAAGATCAGAAGTAACTTCTTGAAATATTTCCTTCCTTTTTTTCCCTACAGGTAGTCCTCGACTTAAGACCATAATTGAGTCCCAAATTTCTGTTGCTAAGCAAGATAGTTAAGGAGTTTTGCTCCATTTTTCAGCCTTCCTTGCCATAGCTCTTACGTGAATCACTGCAGTTGTTAGATTAGTAACACAGCTGCATTGACTTTGTTTCTCAGGTCACAAAAAGTGATCCCACGACCCTGGGACATTGCAACACTCATAAATATATGCCAGTTGCCAAGCGGCTGAATTTTGATCATGTGACCTTGGGGATGCTGCTGCAATGGGTGTAAATGTGAAAAATGGTCAGAAGACCCTTTCTTCAGTGCCATTGCAACTTCAAACAATCACTAAATTGTAAGTTGAGGACTACCGGTACTTTTTTTTCTTTTCTTGCATTCTTGCTCCTTGCTTTTTTTCTCTCTGGGTTTAGTTTCTATTTGCTTTTGCCATTGTAATAAAATGTTCAATAAAATATGATTAAAAATGAACAGAATGAAGATTATCAAGGAGAAATATAAAGCCCTGTATCTGAACAAGAAAAATGAAAAACAAGATATGAAAATGAATTGGATGTTCTTATTGATGGCAAGTTAAATCAGAACCAGCAAAGCAATGCTCCTGCTCAAAAGGCCAGCACTATTTTGGGGTGAGTTAACAGGAAAAGTGTGGAGAAATTAGTCTGGATTCCTAGGAGGGAGGAGCTGGTTTCTGGAAGGCACAGAGAATGTGGAGCCTGGAAATGTTGGTCTGCAGGAAGAGAGTAAAATGGTGATTCCCCTTAGTGATTCCCAGAGACCTTCTGTGAGGTGGATGGGCAGGTTTTAAAATTGATTAAATAAACATCTGTAGTTATGCAAATAGTTGCTTTGTCAGGCAAGATTGTGTCTGCAGGTGAAAAACAAGAAGAAAAACTACTCAGAAGTAACTCCGTTGTGTTGTTCCTTGTTCTTGGGGCCTGAGAAGACTGCAGGTTTAGCTTATTCAACCAACAAGTAGCTGTTTCTCGGGGAGAATAAATACCCCAGGTAGCTTCTTCTCCCTTGCTAGCCATGGGGGACGCCCTCCCTGCCAGATTGTGACTAATTTTCCAGCCTCTGCACGTTGTATTCGTGTTGCTAGAGGACTGCAAATCAGAAGGTCTGACTCATGCCGTTTGATTTCTGAAGACAGTCAAAGCAGGAGGCCTTGCAACCAACGTCACACCTTCTATTTGGAGGTGGCACCTGCTAAAGTCCTGCCCTGCTGCCTCAGCGAGGAAAGGGGGGCAGTCCCCCACCCCACCTGTTGAGTGCACCTCAGTGCCTGTCTGCTTCAGGCAAACTTACGGTTCTCAGCTGCTGGGACTCCCCAAAGTTGGGGGTTGGGAGGGCAGCTGCCCAGGCTAGGGGGATCTCCTTCCGGCAGCTTGGCAGGCATAGATTTGAGTAGAGCGAAAACAGGCTTTCCCCATGGTTTGATGCAGGAGAGCAGAGCTGCTTTTTGCGCAGGAAAGAGGAAGGTGTACGTGCTCTGAGAAGAGCTCCCCGCCTACCCTGTCTCATTCAGCATGAGTCACTCAAGTAACACCTGGGAGTGGGCTTGCCTTCCAATTTCACTTCAAGCGTTTTGAGATTGGAGAGGAGGAAAAGACAGGCCTGTTTGTTTAACAGAGCCTGAGAAAAAGCACATGATTTCAATGTCTTGCCAACACATTACCCCGCGCTTACTAAGCATACCATCTTCTTCTTCGTCAGAAACACACTTAGATCACCGCCTACGCTGTCAATTGCCAAATCCACCCACATAGTAGCGGCAGCAGCAGTGGCTCTTTGAGCAAGTCAGCACTTGCTATTCCAAGCTCTGCCTTATTGGTGATGGAAGGTGCTGCTCTTTCCCCCCCTCTCCTGCTCATGGGAGCCACTAATTCTTGCCTGTGAGGCGGAAAACCCAAAAGTCACCTCCCATCTTGTGGCTGTAACTCAGTGGTATGTCCAGCCTGGCTCTGAAGCAAGTGGCCAACGTCTCCACCCAGGCTGAGGATGCCCAGAGGGGGCTGCTGCTCCTCAGAAACGGTTCTGTCCCAAGCCGGTTTCTATGTGTCTCCGGCAGGGGCAGCCACAACCCCAAGCGGGCAGCAGGGAGTCTGGCTTATTCCAAGCTCCCTGTTTCCCGTCCAACTTGCTGGGGCTCAAATGAATGGCTCCGATGGGCAGTTTCCCCAAAGGCTCTGAACCATGGTGGGCAGGCAGGCAGGAGCAGCAAATGGCAAAGTAGGTTTTTCTTCCTAACATTAATGCAGGTAGTCTGTGTCTTACAGCCATTTGTTTGGTGATCATTCAAAGTTACAATGGCAGTGAAAGAAGTGAACTTGTGACCAGTTTTCACACTTACGACTGCTACTGCATCCCTCTGGTCACGTGATCAAAACTTGTGTGCTTGGCATCTGGCATGTTGCAGGGCTCTGGAAGTCATGGGATCACCATTGGTGGTTACACAAACCTTCCCAGATGACTTCTGACAAGCAAAGTCAACACGTGCTTAACAACTGCATGATTCATTTAACAACTGCAGTGATTTGTTTAACAACTGTGCCAATAAAGGTCCTAAAATGAGGCAAAACTCACACCAACTATCTTGCTTAGCAATAGAAATTCTGGGCTCAATTGTGGTCATACGTCACGGACTACTTGTAACTTGCTTACATTTCTCAGTACCAGGCTTAACAGAATAACAGAATTGGAAAGAACCTTGGAGGTCTTCTAGTCCAAGCAGGAAACCCTGTATCATTTGGGACAAATGGCAGCCCAGCCTCTTATTAAAACCCCAGTGATGGAGTACCCACAACTTCTGAAGGCAAGATGTTCCACTCATTAATTGTTCTCCCTGCCATGAAGTTTCTCCTTAGTTCTAGGTTGCTTCTCTCCTTGATTGGTTTCCATCCATTGCTCTTTGTCCTGCCTTCCGGGGCTTTGGGGAATAGGTTGAACCCCTCTTCTTTTGGATACGCTATTAGAACACTGCCCACACCCTGTTCTTTTCACTAGAGTAGACATACCCAATTTTTGCAATCAGGAAGACTAGAAACTGTCAATCATAATTAAAGGGGTCCAACTCGCTGGGAAAAAAAGTTTAAGTCAATTTGAAAGGATGTGAATTCAAGCAATAGTTTCTATTTTGAGTAGGCTGACTTACCAACATACCACCATGTTTGAAACACAGAACATTATTTCAAGGGAGATCCCCAGAATTGCTTAGGTTGAACTCTTTTGAGGGGAAGAAATGACCTATAAGGCCTCACCTGGACTCCCCAGCTCGAATCTTGAAGAAGAGTTTGAACATTAGGAATATGTGCTGGGTTCCTTTGGAGAAATACTGGTGGCTTGCGGTTTTGCTGTTCCTCTGGAATGTTCAAGATGACGTGGTCAGCGTGAGATTTACAGTTGCCTGTGACACAGAAAACAATCTCTAAGAATTTAAAGGACTTGATTCAACTATTAGATGCCTAATTAGAA